ATTCTCAAAAAAGCATGGAAATTTTCATTTTTTTTGAACTGTAGCTCCCAGCCTAATCCAAAAAAGTATCATTCCCATTCTGTGGTTCTAAAGCCAATGGGTAGGGAGAGGGAAAGATTGTCACACAGCAACACTCCAGTTTGAAATGTCTGAGGTGTGTACGTAGGATATGACTCCGGACATCCCTCCTTACTGGTGGATTTCACGTTATTTCCAAGTGATAACTGGTGCCATCATTTTTGGGACGAGCGAAAAGGCTTATACCCAACCTCCTGTTCCTCCATGTGTTTTGAACTTCAACTCTCATCTTCGATGTTCTGTCATCATCCTCCATGTTAGCTGGGGCTGGTGGGAGTGGCAACGCAACACCATCTGGAACGGTATCTGAGTAGAGGCCATAGTTCAGTCCTCCGCTTGGTCTCTCCTTCCTCAGAGGCAAGATTTGAGGGGCGGGGGAGTCAGAGATGGACTTTTGGTGGCTGTTCTGAGATCGAGGGATTTTCTCCCAAGGAAACCTAGACTAGTTCTTCCCCGTTTGTCCTTCAGCTCTCAGACCAAGACCCTTTCAGTGAGGCTTTGAGGCAGCAGAGGAAGAGGCTTTGGTGAGTGAGTGCTGTGTTTATTCAATGATCTGCCTTTAAATTGCCTTTAAATCAACTGTGTTTTAATATTGTCACTTTTTTGTTATTTAGATCTGCTTCAGTTTTCTTTCAGTTTTTAAAATCAGACGTTGTTTGGACCTGTAATGATGGTGCTGGAGTGGATGTAGGGACTAGTGGCATAAAGGGCTTTGATTTCTATCACTCCATATCATGACGTGCAGATACATGTGGTTCTTGTTATGTGTTGTCAAGTTGCCTCTGACTTTATGAATGAGTGACCTCCTGCCCTCAACAGCCCTCCTCAGCTCTTCTAAACTCAAGGCCATATTTCTTTTAGGAAGCCCATTCATCTTGTATTTGAACTTCCTTTTTTTCCTGCTGCCTTCCAACTTTCCCAGCATTATTGTTTTTTTCCCCAGAGAATCCTGCCTCTTTATGATGTGCCCAAAGTAGGACAGCCTCTGATTCATCATTTTTTGCTTCCAGAGATAGTTCAGGCTTGATTTGATCTAGGACCCACTTATTCATCTTTCTGTCAGTCCAGAATATCCGCAAAGCTCTCCTCCAACACTGTACTTCGAACAAATCATTTTCCCCCCTGGCAGCTTTCTTCACTGTCCAGCTTTCACACCCATGCATCAGAAATATAGGACTGTGGATGATCTTGGTGACACACATTTACACATGATGATCTTTTCTAACTCCTTCATTGCCGCTCTTCTGAGTCTTGGTGGTCTTCTTGCATTTTATGGCTGTAATCTCTTAACTTCCACGAGTGACCAAACCACACTGGAAATCATGGAGTTTTTCCTGGTGGACTCCTTGGCTACAGGACCCCTGGGAGGGCGGGCTGGTAGGATTCACACCAAGGTATACAAAATCCTTCACAAGTTAAATTTCTTTACTTTCAACATGGAAGTTGTGTAGTTCTTCTATAGTCTTGACTTTTGTCTTAATGTTCAATTGAAGTCCTGATTTAGCATTTTCTTTAATTTTCACTAGAAGTCATTTCAAGTCGTTGCTCCTTTCCTCCAGAAAGATGCTATCATTTGCATTTTTATCAGTTTTCACTCATCCTTCATCTGATTCTAGTCCAGTTTTCTGTATATGTTCTGTGTAAAGATTGAACAAATAGGGAGAAAAAAAATGAACCCTTTGCCTATAGGAAAGCATTCTGTTTCTCCAGATTCTGTCCTAACAGTAGCTTCTTGTCCACAATACCAGTTATATATTAGGACAATCAAATGTGAAGCACACCCGTTTTTCCCCAGAAAAGTTCTCATGATCCACACAGTCAAGGGCCTTGCTGTTGTCTATAAAGCATAGACCGGTCTTCTGAAATTCCTTGTTGCACTCCAGTAGCCAGCGAATATGATCTTGAGTGCCTCTTCCTTTTTGAATCCAACTTGAACATCAGGCGTTTCTTACGCCATACAAGGTAAAAGCCCTTCTTGCAACACCTTGAACATCACTTTGCTTGCATGGGAAATTCAAGCAATGCCCCTCTGTGTTGGAACAGCAGAGCTGGAAGGGACCCAATGGATCATTGAGTACAGCCCTTGTCAAGAGGCACAGTAGCGAATTGAAATCCAAACTTGGCTCTACAGCCAAATACCTAAACCACCGTATTATCCAGCGACTCAGTTACTACATTCCTTGGTATCTCCTTTCTTGGGGATTGGAATGTATGTTGAACGTTTTCAGTCCATGGACCATTGTTTTGTTTTTCATATTCGCTGACATATTCTTGTTAGGATTTTGACAGATTTCAGCCATTGTGGCTTCAAATAGTTCTATTGGTGTTCCATAAATCTTATGATTTATGTCTTTCAAATCCATTCTCAGTACACCAGCATATACAGAATACAGTCAAGTCTATCAACCTGTGAGCTACATACAGTCACGGCTTGTATCTCATGTGACTGGAAACTTATAGGAAATAAATCAGATGTCTTAAAGCAGTGTAAGACTTTGTTTTTGTTATAATATGTGCTGAAGCAGAGCGACATGGCAGTCTTTTGCTGAACGTTGGTCAATGAAACGAATTGTTCTCATTTTTGTTTGAGATGCCAGAGAGCTTTTCCCAGTCAGAACAGACGATACAGGGCTTGATAGGCTGTCCTTAGTTTAAACCAAATATTTCTGTACTTCTGTGACCTGTTGAAGATAACAGAGTGAACTGGGAGATAAGACCTGGTAAGGAGCTTCTGAAATCTCTGTGTAAAGAGATTCTTGTTTTCCCAAGGAAAGAGGGGTGATGATGTTGCTTGCTTTAGTACTGGGTGAATTCTGCGTAGTCCAAATGGTGCAGGGCTTCAGAATAACAGACTGAGCAGCAACGCGTGAATCACCTTGTCACAATGTTGCCTCTGTCGGTGACGTGGGTTTTACTTTTATTTAAACCATGCTGTTCCTTCTAAATTCGCAAGTATGCATCTAAATTCACACATGTGAATCTACACCCTTTATCTTTGTCAAGGTGTTTCCTCCTTTTTTTGGTGCCTACCCTTGGGAGATGCCAACTTGGTGGTCTCAAAATTCAAATATCTAGAGTAGAATCTGCCAGCCTAATTTAAAAAAAAATAATGATATGTAGACAGTGGATGATCTGTTTATACTGCTTGTTTCAGTGGGTTGTGGTGTTGGTGTTGGCATCAGGCTGTTGTGGCTGAGAATGTGAAATTAGCAAGTGGCAATTCATATATGTGTGAAAATAATGAGTCAGGGATTGTAGGTGGGTTACTCTGCTGTATCAAGCCAGAGATGCTCTTTTCCAGATGAAAGGACCAAGTATCTTGCAAAACCCTTAAAATTTCAAGAAGCTTTCTTTGGAATAAGCTTTTGTGGACTGCTGCCCCCTTTGTTACATACATGGTGCATGGTTTACTCTACAGGCTAAAAATCACAGATTTGAACCACCTGCAGTATGTAACAATATTGTGAAGGAATTAAATCCAGTTATACATTTCTAGTGAAATACCTGTACTATTATTTCGTTGCTGTTATTCTTTCCATCTTCATTCAATAAAGACTTATTTTAAAGGGCCAAGATTATATAAAATGTTTAAAAAAGATAAATCAACAGACTGACTACATACAGAGGCCAAATGATAGTGTAAAATAGATTTATTGCATCAATTGATCAATAAATAGGTCTTCTTCACCCCAATTGCCAATTAGAGATAGGAAGGCCTGGAAAAAACATGGAAAAACTGGGGGGGGGGACAGGTTTTTGTCTATTTTTTCCCAAAGCTGTTGTTTGTTCCTTAAAAAATGAGGGGAAAATGCAGTGTGGAATGTTTTTTTTTACAATGATAAATAATAAAATGTTTGGAAATTTTACATCTCTATTCATGATGTTCTATTAATGACTTTTACATATATAGATAACTTCCTTCCTTCCTTCCTTCCTTCCTTCCTTCCTTCCTTCCTTACTTACTTACTTACTTACTTACTTACTTACTTACTTACTTACTTACTTACTTACTTATTGGTGCAACTCTCAATCCTTTCAAATTTTGGATATATTTGCGGGGAGGGAAAAGGAAGTTGAGATCATTTAATTTTGCAATTCAGTGTTGCAGTTCAGTTCAAAGCTCACTGTCTTGTAGAATCTTAATATCATGGTTACTTGCTTTTGGTCCTTGTGGCTTAAATGGACTTTTTTTTAAAATGATGCATAAAAATACAATAATTGCAGTGCTTAGATTAAGACAAATTGCTAATACTTTCACAAAATAAGGTGGAAATAGTGGTAGTCGGGATAATAATGAGTCACATTGTGAAACTTTCCTCCCACCTCAAATTCACAGATGCAACATTTATGAAAATTGTCTGTTTTTTGAACATTGATCTGTTTTTCTCCATCTGTAGAATCAAACTGGTGCTGTAATTATATGAGAAAATGGGTAGAATGGCCCTTAATGAAATTCAAAAGCCCCATCTCTCGATGACCTCCGGTTTTATCCAAAGCGTGTTTGCCTTAGTAACCTTCCAACTGGAAACATGCAGATTTCTGGTTTTGTACGACAACCCTCAGGATTGTTATCCAAAATCATAATTCTGCTTACTTATACTTACAACAGTAGTAGCAAAATGGGCTAATCCTGAAGCAGGGGTGATAGTACTCTTGTGTCCCCTTCTTCTGCAAACCAGGAACTGAAGCAAATCTAGCAGTTACTCACCTAAGTTCCATTGTTATTGCCAACCAAATGTGATCCTTTCAGTCAATGGTGAATCCACATGAGTATTGACTTACCCATTGATCTTCAAACAAAAGGTTGGGTTTCCAAGATAGTGGTATCAAATGGGATGCTCTGTGAGTCTATTCACATAAAGCTCGCCAGATAGGCAGGGTGCTGGGGAAAGACTCATGTGTTTTGTTTGCATTTCAGCTGACAAAGCGACTCCAAGATGAAGCCAGCTGCCCTTTTGATCCTTGCAATTTGCACGGTATTCAGCACAAGCATGAAGTTGATATCTAAGAGAAATTCGGGTGAGTTCCATAAATGCTTTTATTTGCCATTTATTCTGTGGTTTTGCAGAAGTATCGGTTGCTGGGCTTGGCTACAAAAAGAAGGCTATGGTCTACTAGAGGAAGCCCTTAGGGCTCCCAGGACTGCAGTCTCATATTTCCTTAAATTTCATAGGCCAGGAGAGGGTTCTTCTGATGCCAGGCTGGGGGCAGATTCCAAATGTTACAGGACAAGACCCATGGGTAACGATTGCAGAACGATGGCTAAAATCCTAATTGTGTTTGCAAAGGAATTATGTAAGTTGTCACAGACAATTGTGGCTAATTGGTGAGGTGTTGGGACATGCACTGGGGACAAGATAGGTAAGCGACCAGGTACACAGTGAACAGATACTTTCTCAATAAGCCACAATTACCCTTGGAAATAAATGCAATCCCTTTGTGAAATAATTTTGGCCTATGTGTCTGTGATGATTTTCTGCACCCTCACCTAATCAAATACTAAGCACACCATACAGAAGGCTGGAACTCTTATAGCACACATGCAAACTCCTTTGTAGTAAGCCATTTGTGAGATGGCTGTCCAAACTTTAATGACACTTTATAAACACATGAGAACCAGTCTTTTTCTTCTTCCAGCACTGATTACCTCTGGTGCCATGCTTTGTATTATCTCCCCGGATATGAAAACAAAGCCCCCGTGTCTATTTGGCACCACGAAACTGTATTTAGCATTCTGATCCACAGAGCACAATTTAAAAGAATGTGGCATTTAAAACCTTGAAACGCTGACAGTAACAATTGAGGTGTTGAGATTTCAGTTTGTGAACGGTACAAATATGACCTTAATCACTGATTTGTTGCGCCTTATTTTCCACTTGGGAGATGGCAGTTCTGTTTTGGCACATGCTGAGTCCATGACACGCAAGCCATGTTGGAAACTGTGTAATTGGGATTCTTTGTGAGGTGCTTCTTTTTATGCTGGAGTTCTGGAGTGGAGAGGTGGGGGGGGGAAACAAAGGACATGTGATCATTGGCCTACCTCCAAGAGGATCTGCGCAAGTGTTAATAAAATGCACCTTTGGCCTTAAATGCATCACCAGTGAATGGAATAGTGCTCATGAATAGCTCCAACAGAGGGAACCAATGAGAATGATGTGCAGTGAACATACGTTACCAATCCTGTGCTCACCCCTGCTTGAAGAAAAGAGCAGACATTGCATGAGCCACACAAGGGAGATGGCATGGAAGCAGTTGGCCATCCCAGATGCTTGAGACCGGTCTTGACATACTTTCTGTTGCACTTTCTGTTTGAGTAGCATCCTGTAGTTTTGAGTGCCATTGCCGTTAAGGACACTGTCTTTGTAACTATCTTTCAAAAATGTAGTATGTACATTCTAGACAATATAATAAAAAAAAACAAATTAAAGAACTGACAAATGCAATAACCATTTGAAGCATCACTCATGAAAATTAGTACATCTTTGATACAAGCACTGTACAAACTGTTTCTTTGTTGGTCATTGTCTTTCCTCCAGTGAGAAAGACATGCTCTTGCCTGAAGTTACAGTGGCAAATATCTAAGAGAGGTGGGTTTGTGCTTACTTTATCGTAAGCAATTGTTGAGGCATCTCAAGCACTTGCTTGGACATTTAATGGATACCTTACTGGCTGGACTTGGTGGGAAGGATGTTGTTTGGTAATAAATACATACTTTACAAGAACAGTTATATAGCAAGTTACTTATGGATTAAAGAAGACGATGCTAATGGTATTAGTGATGCATGGTCCTTCACAGCTTGCTCATTTTGGGATAGGGATTTTAATATTGTAAAAGCAAGTTGAATTTGGGCATGTAGTAGAAAAACCCAGTTAACCAGAACCTTTTATCTTGATTTTTCTGGTTTCCTTGGCTTTCACCAATGCATGACGAAAGCCTTACTTGACAAAATGGGAAGAAGAGAGGATCACAATTGTGCAAAATATCATTTCCTGCTTGGAATCATGGACTTTACAGTGTTGTTGTTTTTTTTTTTTAAACAACCTACAGATGGGAAGGAAATTGCAAATATAGATGTAAATCCTACAGAGATCAGAAAAAATAGTGCTCTACTTTTAAGAGAAGGAGGGTGTTTGAATTTCAACCTTACTTTTGTTGTTGTTGCAGTCTTACTCTATTCCTAATTGGGATGTTCTGCCAGTGCTAACATGTGTCCCCAATCCTCTTGGTGGTGATAGTTGGGCTTGATTTTGATGAGGGCACAATTCCTGGCATTTGACCTTAACTCTGTTAGATGTGTACCTTGGGGTATAGTTCTTTATAAAAAATATTGATCCGTTTATTGAAAGACACATTGCAGAAGGGAAGGCAGTGTGTTTAAGCTCCTGTCTCCTCCTCCCGATAGACTTCAGGCATTCCAAGCTGGCAGAAAATATAAGTTAAAAGAAAAGAACAGATAATTTTATATGATTCCACAGTTTGGGAAAGCTGCTTGCTTGAATTGTGTTTCCCACTTGACATGACCAGTGGCTAGCTTGTTAGAGGATGTTAGCTGGGGGATTCTGGAAGTTGTAGCCCAAAAACATCACTCTCCTAAGCTCTGATTATTTCTAAGGTGAGTTCATAAGCTGCACTAATGCGACTTCGTCTAAGCTCCACCTCTGAGTTAAGAGAGAGTAAAACTTTCCTGTATTTAGTAGGGTGACATCTTGGGTTCAATGATCAAAGTCTAGCAAGGTGGTTTTCCTCTTCTTCTTTTTAAAGGTTGCTACCTGAAGCTAAGCTATTGACTTTTCTTTTTCCTTGATAATGTCATGTGCTAAATGGATTTTCAGTGTCTTTCAGATTTTAGGGCAAGCATTGAAGCATAAGTAATGATTGTGTCCTTTGCAGAGAAAAGATCTTGCATACGGAGGTTTATCTTCAAATAGTTCGGGGGCATGGAAGGGGAAGGTTTGCTGTTATATTCGGTGTAAAGAATTGTACTTGGGAGAAGAAAACAAAGATAAGGGTGTTCCAAGGTGCTGCGGGGAGGGGAGCGATTTATGCAGCAGGCTAAGAGGTGGAACAGATCTTTCACTCCCTGTACAGGAATAAGTGTTTCATAGAGATCAATTTATCATACCATTATATTCCCTTCCTGACTGAATCACTGCATATGCACTGGTAAGAAACTCACTGAATGGTGGAGATGTTTGATATTTCCAGCATCCACCTACCTGCCATTTCGGAACCTGGATTTTTCAGTGGCCCCAATAGAAGATGGAAGGGATGGTGCAGCCAAAGAAACTGATTTCTGTCCACAGCTCTTAAGTCTGCATTCAGAAAACCTTTTCCTTCTTACTATTCATAAGGAGGTGGGCAGGGACTGCTTATATGACATCCGGGCAGATCCTGGCAATCCAAGGTGCTGCAGGGAATCATGATCAGCCATCCTCAGTCCTGTTTTCCTTTAATGGTTGAAATTTTGCCCTCTTTTGTGTTCTGGTATGAAATGGTTCCTAGTCTACTTCTGCAAATGATTTTCTTGTGCTGCCCTTGCTATCTGTATGTCTTACTTTTTGCCAAGTGGGAGGAGGAGTGAGTTTTGGGTAGGTGGGGCCCAGGGCGCCTCTACCACGAAGGCCCCCACAAGGCAGCTCTTAAAAGCAAGCTCTGCCCCACAATCAGTGCCTTTGGTGACAGCCTCGGTGAATACCTTGTTAGAGACCCCCCCCAACATTTTCCTTTGTGCCCATTATCCTAGATTACTTATCTTCCTCCTCACCTTCTTAGGTTTCTATTTGTGTTTTTATGATTCGTTTGTTACTGGTGTAAGTGGGAAGTAGCTGAACAATGGCCATTCTGCTAATTAGACCCTGCCCTTGCACATGTAGTTAAAAAAATATCAATATTTATATTTTAAATAGTTTGAATGAATGTTATTACAGGAGAACCCTTGTATCTGCGGGAGGTCTATTTAATGTCCTACAGTGGATACCTGAAACTGCAGATACGAGGGAAACATATATGGAAAATACAAGGGGGTGGCACAAAGGCCAGAAAATGGTGGGAGAAAGGTCAGAAGGCTGTGGAAAACCTGTGGATAACAATCCTGCAGACATGGAAGTCCTAATATATGTTTTCTTCTTAATTAATTTTAAAATTAATTTTAATAAATAATAAATCAGAATGTCATTTAAGTTATTGATTAACGTTAATCAGTTGGAGGAAGAATGCTCAAGTATTAATCTTTTAGTCTGCTCCTATTAGCTTCTACTAGTCATTAAATAACATGGGGGGCCATGTTCTTCATAAATATATGTCTGTTGATTGTTCATTAATTTAGGTTATTTGCCCCGGTCTGCTTGCACTGGTCTCTCCTGTTTAGGCAGTCTCTCAGCCTGCTCGCTTTGGTTGCTGTTTATTAATATAGGCAGTTTGTTCCAACCCTGCTTTTATTATATTGTTGAATTAGCTTTTACTCAAATCTGCCCTGTTACTTACTAGTCTCTCTATATTCATTTAGACCATTTCCTTATGTTGTGGATCCAGCCCTGTTACCCTTACTCTTTTTGATACGTAGAGAAAGAAGAATTGGAGCAATCCATTTGTAATGGCTCTACTTTAGAGTGAAAAGAGTGATAACCCTTTAGGCAGTTTATAATGCCTGGAGAGAGTTAGTGAAGGAACCCATGATTCGGGAAATGCTGAAGTTCATCTTGCCATTTTATTGGAGCATATAATCTAATTAGTAACCACATATATTACTGGATTTTGCATATTCCCTAGGACTAAAACTAAAATGAGCAAAAAAGATAGGCTGTCCTTTTGAAACAGGTGATTTGTCATCAAGTAGCCGCCTAGAGTGGTCCTGACCCGACCAGATAGGCGGGATATAAATAAAATAAATAAAAATAAATAAAA